AGATATTGAACTATAAAATATTGAATAGAACTATAAGATATTGAATAGAACTATAAAATATTGAATAGAATTATAAGATATTGAATATAACTATAAAATATTGAATAGAACTATAAAATATTGAACTATAAGATATTGAATAAAACTATAAGATATTGAATAGAACTATATATAACTGTTATAAATACAGAAATGGAGTACATTTTTACACTGAATTCTAGTAAATTTAAATTTTGGTATAACTATTTCATTATTTATAAAGTTATCAAACAAATCATTGAAAACTCTGATTAAATCTTTTAGGTCTATTTTAGTATACAATGTAGTAAAGTCATGTGTAAAAATAGAACTGGTAGTTTTTGAAGAATTTAAATTATTTAAACATTCCAAAACTGGAATATTATTTTTAATAATCCAAAAATAAATATTCTGGTAATTTGAAGACTGTATTTTTAGTTTTTCAAACAAGACATCTAGAATATTTTTAAATACTATGGATTGTTTGCTATGATTTCGCGAAGAGATACACGAGGGCTGTCTGCGTTATCCGTCCCTAATTTAGCAGTGTAAGACTAGAGTGAAGGCAGCTAGTCATCACCACCCACCGCCAACTCTTGGGCTACTCTTTTACCAACAAATAGTGGGATTGACCGTCACATTATAACGCCCCACGGCCGAAAGGGCGAGCATGTTTGGTGTAACGGGAATTCGAACCCGCGACCCTCAGATTGCGAGTCGAGCGCCCTAACCACCTGGCCATGCCGGGGCTAAGTACTATGGAAATAGACTTAATGACTGTATTTAAAGAATTAGTAATAAATCTGAATTTCACAGGATTTTTATGCAATTTTGAAATTGCATTTTTAAAATGGTAAATTCGTACAAGAATAATCTGTATGGATATTCCATTTTTTTTAAATAGCCTTTTTTAAATTAGTAATAACATTATTTTTCTTGAAAGTACTTTTAGTAAAAATACTTGTGGTATTAATTTCATTAAGTAAAATTTGTGCATATAACTTTTTACACACAAAACCCAAATTACAGCCTGCTTTATCAATCGGGGCAATAAGGAATTGTTTTTGAATTTATTTTATTTTTAAAGACAGTGAAAGAAATATCTAATTCATATCGAGATAAGTTTAAAGTTCTTCATCGATTTTTTATGGAATTAATAAAATGTGATATCCCCAACGCATTTGGGTGCTATTTCATACTAGTGAGGTATCGAAAATCAAACTGGTGTATTTACGTCTTTTACACTCACCAAAAAGAAACTTGGTTTGGTCTGATACTTCATTGGTGGTAGTGTCCAGGGTCACTGATGAGGAGTGGAATTCTCCGAAACTAG